CAGGAAGAGTGATTAATCACAGATGATAAGGCCACATCCCTCCCACTACTTTTTCTAAACTCCTTCAGTTGTCTACTACAAGGTGTAAAAAGAATCAAAACCTTTAACTGAGTGAAATCTTTTCAGAATAAATTTGACTTTGAGACCCTTCAAACATGGGCTGTACTGGAAAATTGAGATGTAGAAATAATAAAATGCTGATAAAAGGTTTATGAGGCATTGGATGCAGTAGAAAAGAAGATAGTAAAATTAAGTCCTTTGATAACATTATTTGCTGTTTGATTAGTCCATTCGGAGTGTTTAGAACCCCATAGTCAACTCATAAAAGTTATGAATACAAATTCTTATGATAAATTTATTTTCAGTAATAGGTCTTTGTAATTCTGGAGATTACATGTAGTTGATGGAAGAGCACTTTAAAATACAGCTTTAATGTCAGAATAGAGAGAGAAAAATCAAGTTGTGCATTCCTCTACTATTTTAGCTATGAAAAATATTTTTCATGTCATTACATATTTACTGATCTGTGATTTCTGACAGTTAGACTTTATTAATTTCTAAACAAACTGTGTTTTTATTTGTACATAACCTACCAAGAAGATTTTTCAAAGTTGAATAAATCTAGAACTCAAACCAAACCTTAAATAAAGATGAAAGTATTTACAGGTCCAAAGGCCTTAAGGTATATTGGGCTAAGGTAAATATTATTCTACAATATAGAAATTTCGGTTTTTGGTAGATCTGTCTGTCTACAGCAAGTTTAAATAAAATAATTTAAGCCTTTTAAGGCACATCAATTTGCTAGTCAGTAGTTCAAGTATCAAACAGCATTCTGTGAAAATATCAATATCATTGGTTAATATAAATGAAATTAATTTTTAAAGCTGGGCTAAAGGTTGACATCTGAAAAATTGCATTACTTTGCAGAAGAGAAATTTCTGTCTTCTAGTGAAATTTCAGGTCATAAGGGCAAGTAATTTTCACAATCTTCAATGGGAACCCATGAAATATGAACTTCATTGTCACCTAGCCCCAAAGCGATAAGATAAAATGAGCTGATACATCATTTGCTCTGGTTTTATCATCTCCTCCAGTAATTGGAAGAGAAAACATAAGAGTCCTTTTCCACCCCCCTCCCCAAAACTGCTGCCACCCACACCCAGRCATAAGCCATTTTGCTCTGATCGATACAAAGGTCACGTAGTATTTATTTATTTATTTACATTTTTTATGCTGGGTAAAGCTGCCTAGTGGAACATTAAAGTAATGAATATGTTTAATTGAGTTTGTCACCCATGAAAATGCTGAGCAGGACCGTATAGCAGGCTGTGCATACACAGGAGGCAGCCCCGGATGGCAGACTGCTGCTGTTTGCGTGTGGATTTCAGTGGCTGTTTGTATAAATATTTAAAATAAGAACTTTTTTTTTTGCTGTTCTCTACTGTAGCTTGTTACTGAGAAATCCAAAATAAGCTAATAAGCACTGTGATGGTCCTAGGATGGTAAAAGGTGCAGATGAGAAGCAGGACCGCATATCTGAGATAGCAGTGAGGTGTGTACCAAAACTTCTGATTTCTGAATGTTCTTATTTTGTCTCCTGTGTAAAAATGGCCCAGAAATACTAGGAATGCTACTAGGAAGAACATATTTAAGCTTTTTTTCAATGACAATCAAACTTGCTTGTAAATTAAATGTGTTTTGCTTTGTCTGCATGAATGTATGCAACTTATTTTAAGAGCAGCTACAAGAAAAAAAAACTATTGTGAAAAATTCAAATTTGTATCAGCTCTTTAAATAAGCTATTTAGTTTTTATTTTACTCGTGGCACTTAAATTGCCTGGCACATTAAAGTAATATAATTATTCAATTACTGTTTCAGTTCTATAACCCATTTGCAGACTTAATTACTCCTAGGCTATTCACATTTCCAAGATCAATAGTGCTTTCCCCTAAACTAAAACACGCAGTTGCCGATGGGTTTGCTGAAAACGTGAAGCAAAACGTTCATTTAGTCTTTGGTGAAATATCACTGCTCGTGGCAGCAGCAGACATGGCTCGTGACACGTGCGGAAGCGGCTCCGGGAAGAGGATCCGGGCTGGGACACGCGCGCTGCAACACACGCCATGGCAGGGCAGCCATTTTGCGTGCGTGGCTACGACATGGCTGCTCTAGGYGCCATTTTAGATGATGATCCGGACRTGGCTACTTGTGTTTTGAGGCCGCTCTGGTTTCAGCCTTGCTTCTGCTGCGGGGCTGGGGCCTCACTGTCGCCGTCTGAGGTAAAGTAGGGGCCTCATGCGAAGCTGGACGTAAATTTTTAGTTTTAATAGCGTTGCCGTTGATTAATCGGGTGTTCCGCAAGTCTGCTTTTTTTTTTTTTGTTCTTGTAACAAGACTTTTGGTGTAATGCAGCTTTCCGGTGGTCTCGTCAGCGTGTTTCCAGCAGTCTATTTCAAGTGTTAAAGTCCATAAATTATTCTTCYTTCTGTGAGGCAAAGTACCTTTTGAAATAAATGAAAAGTGCTGTAGATTAAACGTCATTTTAATGTGTTGCGTAAACTGGAGCTGGATTTTTTCAGCCCTTCTTGTGTGGGTACTGGGATAGTCACCGTGCCGACTCGGTTAGATCGTATTCTGCTGTTTCGCAGTTTCTGCCAAAACTGTTACTAGTGGAGTGGAGACGAACCAGAGAAATAAGTGGGAGTTGGTTTTAAAACTCAGCATATTGTGCGATGGGGTGAATAAGATGGCAACTTTAAATTAGGAAATGAATTTTGGTGTTGCAAGGCAGATGGGTGAAAGCTGGAGAATGCAGAAGATGGTTAGGAAAGTTGTGTTGCTGAAGCTGCAAGTGTCAGAAGCAGTAAGACTCACAGAGAAATCCCTTCACCAGAATAAAAATTCCATATTTATTTTAAAAATACTCTTTCTGCCTATAGTCACCTCTACTAATTAGCTTGGGCATTTGAGGGGGACAGCTAAGTCGAATTTGGTTTTGATGGGGCCTGCCCGCTGGGAGCAGCGCACCGGGCTCCCAGCGCCTTGCGCCCTCCTCATGGTGCTGTTAAGAGCAGTGGTAAGGAGGCCGTTGCCAAGGCAACTGGCTCGACCTCCGTCTTGTCCTGGCGCTGCCACGCTGCGCTGGCCGCTCCACTGAAGCCCGCTCCTGCCTAATCCTGTTTTAATTGAACTCCAGGGACTTTGAAGTGAAGCTGCGGAGCAGGCAGACCCCATTGCAACTGGGAACGGGGGCCAGACACAGGCAGGCTGAACCACAGCTACTTGCCCCTCCTCAGGGCTTTTCCTCGCCAGTGCTCTCACGAATGCTGCCCCTCAGCCTGTTACACTGGGTGCAGTAGCGTTATCGAGCAGGGCCCACATGAGCTTTTGTCATATTGGGCATGTCAAAGCTCTTCCTTCCTGTTTGGAACAAGTTGTCCTTGGCAAGGATTTGACCACTAGCAGCGTTTGAGATGTAGATGCATTTTCTAACAAAATGCTATTCATCATGGCACGTTCATTTACTATTCATAAAACAATGCTTAATTATTTTCCTTACTGTTTTTGCTCTTGTGCAATATAGACATTTGAATTGGAGCTACGAAGGCTTGTGGTGACGATCAGCCTGTTGTGCTCTCACTGTCAGTGCAGACGTGCGCAGGTCGTAGTCATCTTCTCTGCCTTCGAAGAGGTTCACTGGCTCCCCTTTTAATGACAGTATGGACAAATGCCAGAAAAGGTGCTAGGAGATATTTTTACACGAGCACTGCAACTTGGACTCCTTTGGTACCTCTTTTATCATGTGCTTTTTAAAGGATGTTTATGTACATGTGACAGAAGCAAACCACAGTGGTTCTCGGTTGCCCCACAGATTTGCTCAAATCTGCCTGTTTGTGTGGCTCGGTTATGGATGTGGTGCAGGAAGCTGCCGTCATGGCCAAAGTCTGTTAGTTCCCCAATTTCAAAATAGTTCAGCAGCCTTAAGCAATGTTTATTCCTTTCATCGCACTGCAAGAAGTATGCATCAGAATATTTACTTTTCCTTCTCTTTRCTACATGTGAGGCAAAATCCTCCTTTCTTTAATATCTAAAAACAAATAACTCCRTTCATTAGAAGTCTTGGTTATGTTATTTTAATTGGAATCGTATTTGAATTTCATTTTCATAGTACGTTTATGTTGAGTATATTTGTGTACGTTAAAATTGACAATTTTTTTTTTTCCTTTGCCTATGTTTTGGTGATCTGAAGTAGAGATTCATCTCGTTGTCCCTTAATACTTACATAATTAAGCTTTGAAATGAAAAGAAAAAAAAAGACACAAAGAAACAAAGTGGCTGTGGACTAAAAATGGGATTAGTTTGAATTGTGAAAGCAGACTAAGCATCTGTGTCTGTCAGATGGGATGACAGGAATTGTAACAAGTTACTTTGACAACCACTTACTCCATAGAGAGATTATGCCGAGTTCATTTGCAGGTTTGTGTTTAACCTTAGCTGACAAAATGATACTTAACCTCTTATACAGCCAACCTTTATACTTCCAGAATTAATGAATGTTGCTGTAACGATAAATGCAGGGAACACTTTAAAGGYTTTTTCACCCCCATTTATTTGTTACAGTCCTATTATTACAACTCTAAAGTGAGTGCAGATACACATGATGGCACTAGTAATATATTTTAAAAATATGATTTTATAATTTGTTGAAGTGGTAAAACCTTCATACAAGTTTCYGAGATTCCATTGGTTATATAAAATACATACTTGTCTCTTAAAGAAATAGTTTTTTAAAGGGCCTTGGCATGAAAGGTTRAGTTTAAGCCTTGGAAATATCCGTTACAAGTTCCTAACATGACTTTATTTTAAATTTGCTGCTGGATTTGTTGATAATTGGCCAAATCCTTATTTGTGAATCAAACACAGTTTCTATTTCACAAGGTATTACCTCTACTAACAACATATTTAAAAAATACGTATTTTTCTCTCTCTTTTTTATTAGATTCTAGCATATACAGAAGGACTGCATGGAAAATGGCTCTTTTCAGAGATTCGGTCTGTCTTTTCACGACGTTATCTCTTGCAGAATACGGCATTAGAGATCTTCATGGCAAACAGAGGTACTGTGAATTTCAAGTAGTGGCACGTTTTAGTTTGGGAAATGTGATTTCTGGCTGTTTAGAGGATTTGTTAGGATTTTTGTCTTCAAGGTGGTTGGTGAAGATCTAGACACAGATCTTGCAGGCCACTGTTGCTCATATCTGAAARTGCTTATCCTCCAATAGCATATTAATGGTTTGTTGAAATCTTCCTATTTTGGAGAGTTTAGTTATACTCCATGAACTCGTAAATGTCAACTGATGATATGATAATTTGCTTCTTATTTAGATTTTAGGTTMATTTCATAAGCCATTCAATATTTCAGATGAAATATGAAGATAATATTTTAAGAATAAATATATCTTAAARTAACAAATTCCTAGCAAGTGTGTGATACATTTAATATAAAAACTTTTTTTTTTTTCTGGCCTAGTTCTAGATATTCCAGTGTATATATAAAGCTTTAAATCTATTCAAATATATGAGCAACTCTAGGCCTCGTAAGTTTTGTGRAAGTGGTAACTTCCATTAAAATTCCACTTGGTAACCTAAAGCACTTCTGGAAATTATATAGTAAGGGTATTTGTAGTAGTCTGAATTAAATATATTTGTTTTATCATTTGAAGYTCAGCTTTCTTGGGCCAGAAAAACTATATATACATGTTGGTGTATATAATAAAGCATTTCATATTTTGACAGTGTCTGTGATGTTCAACTTTCCTGACCAAGCAACAGTAAAGAAAGTGGTTAACTGTCTACCTCCAGTTGGCGTTGGTACAAGTTTTGGACTACCTCAGACCAGGTATTTTATGATTTCAATTTATTTAGTTTCTAAGATTTTATTCATCAAAGCAATGTRCAAGGTTTAAATCATTTACATCTGCTGCTCAGCCCATCAGTTCTGCATGCTTTTGTAATATATTTATATACTAGAAATATTGGGATTTGAATGTTTGTGATTTCTGTATGTTACAGAGATGGTAGCTTCTTTTTGGCAATGATGCTTGATCACTTACTCTGCTTAAAAAAAGTTTCTTTATGCATGCCATATCACTGAAATTTAAGAGTCTGGTTCTTGTACTGATTTGCTTTTATGACAGTTTTCAATTACATTAGCTTGAATGTAACATCCTTAAATCCTTTACTGTATCTCTATCTAGATGAAAATGACTGTKCCTCATCAAGAGGAAATCTTAGTAATGTATAAAACAATAAAAATGGAGGAGTGTGTGTCAGATTGGTTTGGTGTGTTTGTCTTTTAGCTCTGGAAAAAGAGGGTTCAAATATTTCTAAAGGTAAGTGAAAAACTAGTGGTACAGGTCCAGGCTGTGTGTTTGTGTCCCAAAACTGAACAGTATAGTTCACTTTGTTTCATGTTTTTAGCAGAAGATTAATCMTCAATTACTGGCTATGTTCTGGATGAAACATAGCAGTGTAGTCTACTGCTCAGTGAGGYTGATGGATGCAGAAGTCTGGGAAATGTGTCCTGTCTCTAGATGGGTTGRATCTCTCTTGTATTTTATTGAGGCATGAACTGTTTTTAAGCAGATCCTTTAAAAAAAAAAAAAAAAAARAAAAAAAAAAGAAAGAAACAGCAGTGTTTGAAGAATGTGTTTAATGCTGTTTCTTTAAATATTTATTACTGTAGTGTGAGATTTCTCTGCATATGAATAATTAGAAATGACATTAGCATGTTTGGGGTTGTTTTCTGTTATCTTTTGGAATTTGCATTTTTTATGATGTCCAAAAAAAACCTCCTGAATTGTTGAGTGCTATTATAGTCACTTAAAAGGATGTAAGGTTTTCAGTTCACAGAAGCAAATTGAATTTTTAGATGTTTAAATTTATATAAAAATATATACAGATTTGTTCAAAATGTAGTATCTGTTTGTATTGATAGTCTATTAAAAATTTAATGCAGTTTACCAAAATAAAAAAAATCAGGTACTATCACTGCTTTCTTTATTTGCTTGCTAGTACCTGTAAAGATTTGTTAGCTAAAATATGTATGTACTTTTTTTTCCCTAAATGATGTGTTGCTGGTGTCTATAGATGTTTTCATTATAAACAAAACAATCTTGTGAATTTTTTGATAATCTTTTCTCTACTTGATTTGTCACCCTAAGAAATGACTCTATATTCTTCTTTCACAAACATCAGGCAATCTGGCATCAAACTCTAAAAGTTTAATTGAGTTATTTATGACTAATTCCCCAACACTGCCCAGAATTTAAATCTCAAGAGGATGGACTTCATAATAAAAATTCTGTCATCTTATCGTTGTTTTCATTTATTCCCAAGAGCTTTAAAAGCCCCTTCCAAAAGATGCCTTTAGTCTAAGGTGAAAATTTAAGCCAGATTCTTATTTAATATTCCACSATGTTTCTAAATCACTAGTAACATGTTTCTGTAATATATGAATCTTTCATRGAACATCTGAATTTCCACAGTTGTAGAAGTTTCTTTTGACAATGCCTAAGCRTTTGGATTTTGGCATGTCCAACTGTCAGATGTTTCGAGTCTCTAGCTCTCGTTAGATTCTGAAACTTGAAAAATGAACTTCAATTATACAAAATAGCAATCTGATCTCTGGAGAAATTCAGCAAAGAACTAGTAAAAATGATGTGTACAAATGCCACAAAAAAAAAAAAATCAAGTAGGTGGTAAAATGAATCCACTAGATTTCCCAACTATCCTTCTGTGTTTATGGTTGTTTTCCAGGCGCATTTCTTTGGCTAGTCCACGACAGCTTTTCAAAGCTTCCAATATGACCCAGCGTTGGCAGCACCGAGAAATTTCCAACTTTGAATATCTGATGTTTCTAAACACTATAGCAGGTAATACAACTTACTTATTTGGTTAGTATTGACACAGCCTCAATAGTCTAGGACACTTCTAGACTTTATGTTTTGGCAAATAACTTTTCCTATGTCAAATATTCTTTTTAARAACATCATAAAATCCTTTAAATGCACTTTATTCATAATTATTTTATGCTTATAAAAGAACAAATAAAGTGATATTTACATACAAAGTGCTGTATTGAACTGCCCCTAAAAATATAGCTAAAAAGTCAGAATATCTTGACTGTTGGGGGAGAACACTATCTGGATAGACTGTCTATTATTTAGAGGAATGTCAGAATTAACTTCCTTATCCATAGCATTTAAAATATTGATATCCATAAGTATGTTTTGCGTAAATACCTTTGATACAACAGGGTGACTTACTCTCATCCTGTCTCAGAAGTGCTAGGACCTTTTGGGAAGGCTTTCTTGGGGAGCAGGACATTCCTGGAGGCAATAAATACCRTTGTTACAAGATAGTTTATCTGGGAAAAGAATGTAATGCCTGAATTAGCACTACTGCTCTGTCACATTGTTCATCCATTCTGAAATCCTGGCTCATTCCTTAGTATCACTGTCCATCCTGCAGCTGTTTAGCTGCATTTCATTTAACCCATGTGGCCCGCTAGACTCCTACCCTATTTGAGTTCAGGTTAGTAAATGCAGTAATTGTGAAGTCTYGTAACCTATTTTTTATTTTCTGACATATTTTGTCCTCAGAGCAAATTTTAAAGTTTCTCTATTTTCATCTCTTTTCTGTAGCGTGGACGGTGTTGAAAGTTTCACTAATTTCCTTTCAGACTTGACTCATGCTAATGTGATTCATAAAACAAATGCCTTCACTCACRCTAACAGCATTTTACACAAATGGTCAGTTATGCTAGTTTCTGTCATCAGTCATTAAATCAGAAATGCCAGGATGTTGACAGTTTTTGTAAAACTAGAAGTAGAGATGATCGTTTGCTTACTGACCAAATGGAATGAGGCAAGATCATGACACTTCCTGCCCCTCTAGTGAAGGATCCTTTTCAGCTTTATTGTATTATTGAAATAAGAAAATGATTTCTTAGCTACTTGGTATTTGAGGTTAAAAGTAGAGAATAGATTATGTCGACTGAGGGAAAGTTGARTTGTCTATGATAAGGAGTTAAAACCTTACCTTGATCACTCTCAATTTGAAATAAAGGCATCAGTGTGTCAGATAAAAAGCTGTAATCCTGATGATACAAGAAAAGATAACCAACTGATCAAGGAAAGAAAGGATCTATAATGCAAAAAAATGTACAAATCAAGTTGGAAAAAACATGCTACAGGAAGACTSGGAAAAGCAAAACTTAGTACTAGAAAAGATTTTCTGACAACRTAATATATTGGGTTGTGAAATAAACTCCCTGAGGAAGAAGTACAAAACTGTCCCTTGAGACTTCAAGGTGAAACTAAACAAAATGTGAGAAAGCATTGGTAGAAGGTGAGCTGAATGAACTACTTTTTGCTGTTATCTCATAGACAAGACCCATGTTAAAATTATGCATTTTAACTTAATAAACCAAAGTATGTATGGCATCTGCATGTATGTACAAGACAACAAAACCTATTCTAATCATGTATCTACTGGAACAAGGATGTTATTTTCAACTTACAGATGCACAAAAGTGTATACAAGAAGCTGAAGCCAGAACACTTTTGTACACATTCCCTCCTCTGGTAAATTTTTGCATATCCAGAGATGATCAGTGCTCAAAAAGAATTCCTCTTGCATGTGAATTCTCTAGATTAAATATTTTTTTACTTGCAAAATCTCTAAAATCCTGAGCTGCTTCATGCTGCTTTCAATTATTTAATTGGCTTAATCTGTAAAAATACTGCTTTAATTTTTAGTATCAGCAAAGGTCTTTGGACTCTTCCTTTTTTTCAAGTGGTTCACTTTAGAGAAACCTAGAAGATTGTCACCAGGACAGGAGAATCACGTAGAAAATGAAGGGATTTAGGTGTCACTTTTATAGCATGCAAGATAATGTGCAGTTAAAGTGAAATGGCCTGCAAACAGAACACTTTTTTAATAATCTAAAGCATTGAAATTGTAAGAGATGTAAAAAGAATTGCGTTCCTTCTGAGGAGTTTATATGTATGTGTGTGTATATATAGGGTGTGTGTGTGTATATATATACACATAGATATATGTGTATGTATGTGTGTGTATATATATATACACACACACATATACATGTATATACACACATATATATGTGTGTGTGTGTATATATATGTAATATATATACATACACATGCACACACCCTATATATAATATTATCTGCGGAAGCTGGAAGCTGGTATTTTAATTAAATTCAACTCCTTTCACTCAGGTGTTTTTTTTGTTGTTCATCAGGTCGTACTTACAATGACTTAAATCAGTAYCCTGTCTTCCCTTGGGTCATCACCAACTATGAATCAGAGGAGTTGGATCTTACACTTCCTAGCAACTTCAGGGATTTGTCAAAGGTATTTGTCATCAGATACACCTTTTTTTTTCTCTTAAGTAATCATTGCACTACTTTTCAGTCTTGCTTATATCTTCTGCTGTATTTGATACATTAATAACATTAAATATACAACCATTAACAGTGTTTTGTTTGTATATGTATATACTGGTAATCAAGAACAGATTTTAATGGGAAAATGAATTATTGATGTGTCTGTTGCTTCTGATTATATCAATTTGTGAAGTTTTAATGGACAGTGCTTTCAGTTGAGGCATATGCATTACATTTAATTTCAAGTTTTGAGGAAGGTAGGAATGTCAAGTCAGCTATAGATTAAAAATTAACCAAATAATTTCCAGTGTCTCTGAAGCGAGCACTATTTTTTTTTTTTCATTAGTAAGGGTTGTGATACCATTCTATTTTAAGTACTTAAATTGTTTTCYTTATTCCCCTAAGCAGAAGCACAGTTTTCTCACTTCCGTTGTGTATTGCCTTTAGCCCTTTAGGTATGCTTAAGCAATGCAGTTGTCTTTTGTCAGACAGACGCTGTCAATTTCTTGCACCTTTTCCAAAGAGTTTTTCCTTCCTCACAGACAAGTCTTGTTTTTTGTTGTTGTTTTTGTTTTGTTTTAATATTCCTTCCCAAATGCGTTATTAAACAGCTTATTTAAAGCTTTGTCAGATGGGATTATTCTCTTTCAAGCTTCTTCATCTCCCTGTTTTTTCCAACCTGATTGTCACCTGCTTCCTTTTCTAAGAGTGTATTCCCACATCTCTGTTAAACTTTMTTATAGTAGTTAATTATCCATAGCTAGTTTTCTGTGCAACTTTGCTTAAAAACATAAAATATAATTTAAAGAAATTGRTGCAGCACTTTGTTGGATATCCTCTTCAGATTTATGTACATTTTCAACACCAAGCTAGCTCAGTTTTTTGTTAATTTAGCTTCCTTATGCTTACATTTTAAAATCTTTGTATCATCTGAGAATTAACAGCACTTTTAACAGTGCCAAAACCTTATAAATGTCCAAACATGAATATGAAAGAAAAAAAATCAAAGGTGCATCTGAAGTGTGTCAGCATCCATAATCGAGTTTAGGCTGAAAGTTCCTTCCAGCTAGTGTAGTTGTGTTTTAATTCTCATTCTTTCTGTATGTAAGGAGAAATGGAGTATAAAAAAGGAATACTTCATTCTACAAAGTAAAAACCTCTCTTATTTCTCCAGAAGCAGTAGGTGCAAGCAGGATATTTTTGCAAGTTTACCCTGTGTAATACTTGATGTTAGCTACTATGGGCAGAGACTGGGACATGGGACAAGGGAGAATAGTTAATTAGTGGAAAAGATGAAGGAAATATTTTAACTATAACTTTTTTTTTTTTTTTTGCGTCTGTCTTCCCTTCAAATTGGTAATTTGATGGCAAAAAAAAAGGACAGATTTTTAAAAAATCTTACTTGTGGTCCACAATTTTTAAGGTAACTATAGGTCTATTTGAAAATTTCCTTTTTTTTTTTTTTTGATTACAGATTTAGTATTGTAACTTTGAAAAATGTTCTGTATTCATATATCTATATTAAGACTCTATAAAACATTGTATATATGTATATATGTATATATGTATATATGTATATATGTATATATGGGGGTGTGTGCCCCAAAAATATAGAATATTATCAAACAATTTCAAAGATCTATTAAACATTGGACCTTAAGTGAAATTTCTCAAATGTGGTAAGTCTCCTTCATATGACTGAACTGTTCAATTAATATTACTTTTCATGCAAATATTTATGGAGAGGAATTGGTGATTGGCTAAATTATATTTACATTGAAGACTGAAAAATTAAATAACATCATCAGCTCTGTGTAGCCTGAATTAAAACATACARTATAGGTATTAATCATGAATAACTTGCTTGTGACATGTTTTTTGCAAGTATTATTGCCATTAATGTTTATGAAATAAAACTTTAAAAAGTATTATACTTTTGAGGGATCTCCTTTTAGTTATATTTTAATTAGTAAATCAATCAGCACAACCAGCTCTGTAGTGCCAGCTTGCTTGCCTTCTTGCCACCCTGCACTAGAACAGGGTGCCGTTTAGAGCAGTCTTTCCTCATTTAGGGCAGGTACCACCGTGTCTCCATTAAGCAGTCGGATAGCAAAACTGCTGTTGCTCTTTTGCCGTGCAGTTATGTGTTAACAGCAACTGATGTGCATTTCTGTGCTGATAGTAGTAGTCATGAAGGACTGCTAAGTGTGCTTTAAGTTCTGAGGGAAACTTTCCAGGGCATTGCTGGGAGAGGACAGCCAAATGGACATGACTCAGGTTGTGTCTATATGGGTACTTGTCAGTCTCAATCCTGTGTTTGAAAACTTAGAAATTAGTACATAACTATTGCAGGAGATTCATGCATATTATGTAAGCCAGATACATGATGAGCTAATTATCTGTGCTCAATTGACAGTTGCCTTGTTAAAGCACAGTGAATGTGAATAGATATATACATATATGTATATTTAACATGCATTTCTGTTATCTATGGTTATCTGTTGTTGATCACACAGTGCATCTTTATTTCCTAAAACATAGCTACTGTTCTGGAAGAATGACAGTTCTTCCCAGATGCGCAGTGAAAGTCTTGATGCCACATCTATCTCAGACGCAGTAGTTCAGGTATTTCTAGCAGTATAGGCTTCATGCAATCTAAGTGTTAAACTGTGTCAGATGAGGAATTCATGGCAAATTCCTGAAAATGTTGATGAGCAGTGTCTCTCTAGTAACCTGTTCTGAGAATGTTTGTATACTTAGAATTTTTTTTGTTGTTGTACCATCATCTCTAGGAATAATGTTTCAAAGTAAGTGTTAATAATATATTCTGGGAGGTCTATACTTTTGGACTGTTCAAGGTTTTAAAAATGTTAAAAGATATTTCACTTAAACAGCTATGTTGTTCTGACAGAACGGGACGTCATTTCAATATTTTTGTGCTTTTTTGGCAACTAAAAAATTAATAGTAAAGATTTTTTTCCAAGTTGCAAGTTAAAGTTACATAATGTGACAAGTATGAATAACAGGTTTGTTAATATATTAACTATAAGTCCACAGTTAGCGCAGATTTCAGGAACTGCGGTGTATAGGTTAAATCAACACTTTATTTAAGCAGCTTCTTATGGCATTATTTTGAACATCAGTCACACAATGATAAACCAAGGCAACTGAAATGGATTGTGGTTAATATTACTGTCAGTCTGGCAAACACTCCTGACAAATTCCAGATGTGCACTGCCAGTCAGTTACCCTGCTTTGACTCGAGTGTTTATTTCTTAAGAGGTGACTATGATTTGGAGTGGGTATAACATATTATATTTATAGCTGTATATATTTTATTTATACAATAGGCACAGTTTCCCAGCAGAGTGTTTCCTATTTTCTGCATTGCTTATGTCATTCAAAAGCATATTTTTTCCTTGTTCAGTGGAAGCAATAAATTGTGATATGTTTCAGAGCTTGAGTATGGAAAAAAATGAAGTAAAAATACTTGGAAAATACTTAGATATTAAACAATGATTTTATACTCACAGAAGTTTGTTATAAAATCTTGCTGTATACGAATAACTTCATAATTTATCTTTTTCATGGCACAATTTTTTTGTAAGATTATAAACTGATGCTACTCTAAGAAAATTACACTGTTCTTAAATCTTTGGCTTTAATAGAGGTACATAGATGTACATAATAATATTTTTATTCTAATTTTCATCATTTTCATGCCCTATTGGCTAAATCATCATCAATTTTATAGTGATTGTTGTGTAAGTAATGACTTCTGTTCCAACCAAATGTACAAAGCAACAAATAGCTCTCACCTTCAGTGAAGTGAGGTGTTTAATTGGTATGTGGGAGCATATGGGGTAATATCTGGTATCCATATACTTTGACAGAATAGAAATTATACATGTTTTTGCTATACCAAATTAGACCAATTCTGTGATTCTAATCTAAACTTCTGTCTTGATTGTTCTTCTTCAGCATATCAGACTACATTCAATGTAAGGGTAGACATTTCGGGAACAAAAATTCACTGTGCATATACCTTGTGTTGAGTGTGTTTCCCTGTGACTCTATAGAGTGGAATCTGCTTAGGTCTCTCAACATCTTTGGCCATGAGACAGAAAATAACACATGGTCTAATCTACATCAACCATGTGCTGACAATTTTTTTTAAAGAAATCTCTATGTCCAAAGGACTGTAAAAAGCTGTCATGCACAGGGATATGTATGCAGAAGGAACTGAGTTCCATTCAGAGTTCATCACCTTTGAAATGCAGGTGGAGCTGCCTGGATGGCCTCAGGCAGTGCATCAAATGCTGGTTAAGTAACATCAGCGTAGTAGAAACCTCTTTGTGTATGTATTTCTCATCTCTGTTTGTATGAGAGCACCTCACATTCTCAGAAAACAAGTTTCTTTCACCAGTGATGTTGTCCAGTAGGCCACAGGGAGGTCTAGRGAGTTTCCAGAAGCAAGAGGAACAGTGAAGTTACTGCACTGTCAGCTTCCACCCAAGAAGGTAGTGTGAGGATCTGAAAGTCTTGTTTGAGGAGAAGGGCACTCCAGCCTCTCCAAAATGCCACAGGAAAATAGGGACMAGCTGAGAAAAATCATTGTGGAAACTGGCTTATTATCTTGTGGTAGCTGTACATATGAATCCCACAAGTGTGTGTGCAAAGGGTTTGAAAGAGATAGATACTGGACTTACCATATCACAAGAAGGGAGACATTCCAACAAGGAACAATACCATTCCGTTTTTAGGGATGCACATATTGGTACCATCTAGAGGACTAAAAATGCAGAGGAGAGAAAGGATGATTATGTAGCTTTGTGGTTAGGGGTCTTGCTTGTGTTAGGGGAACTGAAGGCTCAAGCCAGTCTTTGAAGAAAGCTGTGCAAGAATGTGAAGTTTTCATGTTCATATGCTGTGACAGTGCTACGGGCTTTTGGCTTRTTGTGGTGTTTC